GCTGTAGTCCTAACACACAGCAGCTGTAGTCCTAACACACAGCAGCTGTAGTCCTAACACACAGCAGCTGTAGTCCTAACACACAGCAGCTGTAGTCCTAACACACAGCGGCTGTAGTCCTAACACACAGCAGCTGTAGTCCTAACACACAGCAGCTGTAGTCCTAACACACAGCAGCTGTAGTCCTAACACACAGCGGCTAGAGGCTAGAACTTGGTAAAGTAGAGCTTATTTAAACAAATATTTTTCTCTGCAAGTTCAATTGCATTTTGAAAGCATATGTAAATGATAGTATGCTGGATCTTACAAATGAACCTGAACTTCAAACATAGGAAGTAAGAAGAGTAGAGCAACATTCACTCACCTTCATTGATATATTCAAATTTGTATTATTCATATGCATTTAAATTTCTCACAACCAGTAAGTGTGTACAAAAATAAGAAATTTATAGATGGGCTCTGCTTGTGCAGATAAGTTTAATTTGAAACAATTTCTGTTATTTATTGTAGCATTGTTGAACTTTCCCAGGTAATTAGATGAACATTGTACAATTGAGCATGAATATATTCTCAAGAATCTATCATCTTATGATGAAATGTTTGGCTGTTTTTTATGTTGGGCTGTCATTTAATTTATTGGTGGGAATTTGTTGTGAGTAGATTCATCATTATACACTGTTAGAAAAATTACGGTTAACGGTATTACCGGCGTTTCAGTGGCCGGTCGGCACGTGAAAAGAAACACCGGGTCACCGTTTTTATTCCAATTTAACACTAGAAATCGTAAAACATCTGATAAAAATGGCGAAACTGTTTATTTTCACGGGGCGACCGGCCACTAGAACGCCAGTGGGACCGTTTTTTCACCGTTTTTTCCGACAGTATATTATTGCAAATAATAGTGAGTTAACATGTTGGGTGCGGTTCATTATATTATATTATTGCATATAATAGTAGGTATGCAATAATAAGCTCTCACCAAACTTCTAACTGCCCACTGGTGCTATTACATTCAAGTTCCAATTGAACCTTCTAGTTTAAAATGATAAATATGCCTTTCCTTGCAATTAAATGAAAAAGTTAAACATATTTTCTATTTCAAACCTTTATATTTTATTATCAACACGATGTCTTAAAAATTGCAATAATAACGAATTATGTTTTTTTGAACATTCCATACCATTTTTATGAACGACATCCAAGAGTTATCTTGCACTCAATGTGTTGATGTATAATCCCAGGGTGCGTACCAGTCATGGAAAGCCTGGAGAGTTGTATACAAGTCTGGAAAATTACTAGTATACATCATGTTCCAGACTTGTATACAACTTGAAATTTTCCAGACTCGTAATTTTCCAGACTTGCATATGACTCATAATTTTCAAGACTCGTATATGTCCCGTAATTTTCCAGACTCGGATACAACTCGTAATTTTCCAGACTCGTATACAACTTTCCATGTTTTCCATGACTGGTACGCACACTGTAATACTATATAATGTATATAGTATAATATAATACTATATAATGTGTATAAATAATATAATTTAATCCATGCATACTGCCTCTGTTTGGCCATTTCACACCTCAAAGTTTTGTGACAAGAAATTGGCACTTGACTTCTTGTTCAATATTGTTTCTTTAATAAGTCACTTGAGATTACATTTTCTTCCATAATATTTACATTGTTGTCCAAAAACAATTTTTTAAAATTCTTATCTAGAAAATCAAAGGAAATTTTTTGTTATAAATTTGTTATAATTAACATGAAAAATCCACTTTGAAAGATAAATCTGTCATCAGACTCAATTTGCAAAACAAGAATAAATATGTATGTTAAATTATCTAATTTTAATTATTTTGATTATAAAGTCTATCTGATCTGATATTGTTGGCTATTCTATGAATTAATGAATTTTTTACAATGAAATTAACCACATTTTAATTCATACATGCACCTGTGACCTACGAAATGATACCCTTATTGTGCCAACAATTGTCAACAATACTACAAGTCTAAAATATTTATTATGTATTAATAATATGTATTAGTTAAAATATTGTATGTAATATTGTATCCTAGTTAGTTATTGTATCCTAAAAACTAGGATACAATATTACCATAAAAATGTTCTTCTTTTAAATAAAACAAGTTTCAACTTCATAACGTTCATAGTTTTTTTTTATTTACAAATTAAAAGGGTCAGTTAATTCTGGTTCACCCTGTATATCGATATATCAACTTCATAGGTTAAAAATAACATCACATCCACAGTATAAACAAATTATTCTAAATGATGTTAGAGACACAATAAGAGACAATGTGTCTAATTGTGTCTTTAGTTTGGTGCATAAATTATTCATTTTGAATTCATAATTAAATTAATGTGAATTTATCAAATTGATTCCATAATTTAGAATAGCCCTGTATAATACTTCATTAATAGACTCTGAATTGGCCAAACAGGGGCGGGTGCTAGACAAACCAACAATTAATTTGCTTCTGTTAATGAATTATCATTTAACTTAGTAGTACTCGTATAAATGTATAAACTTCATCACTGTAGCAATGTCACTCAATTGCTAGAGTTAAAAACTGTAGAAATTTAGAAGTAAAAAAAATTCACAAAATTCACCATTACTTTATGGAAAACATTTTGCAGTCCAGCTCTATTAATTAAGCTGGATGCCAAAATATTTGTGTAAAAATATGGCAAATTATTATGAAATTTTCTGTTTTATATTTAAGTACCAATCTTTTTTCTGTTGGATATGTATTTTTTATTGTTATTTATTCCATGAATTTTAATATGAATATAATATTATCTGAGCACCATTGCACCCACATTTAATGTTTAATCTAATTAACATTAAAAAATCAAACTTGTATTTATATGTTTTTTTAAAGATATTATATAGAAGAAAATATTACCAATTATGCAAATTGTATCTGGAATGGCATTTGTGTTGTATTAAGTTGGGTGAAAATTTTGAATTTGGCTTCTAACATTAATGTTTTTAAACATTTACTTTATTTTTATACATTTAAAAACTCATTTGGCTTGTTACGTTCCAATATTGTGCCATATTGTATGGCTTTGCTCGTGCATGTTACATGAATGTCAGTTGGTGAATATTCATGTACAACATAAAATGGTATAAATTATTTATTTCAAAATAATTTGTCATTGGGGCCATGAAGCACTGTTGAGGACAGTGTATAGAAATAGTTAACAACTTCAGAATAGTTAACTGACATGTAATGCTTGATGCCCTGCCCCTCAGTTACCACACAATAGATATGTAGTACTTTATACCCCACTTTCAGTTATGATACTGATGACAAAAGTACTTTTATCATCCAATTTCTCGTCTGATTGGCAGGTTTAGCTTGACAAGCCGTCAGTGCCTGGCTGATGGAGTTACAAATTCTTATCAACTTTTAATGGTACCTCTACTGATGTGAAATGCTTGTTATCCTGCAGGTACCACAGGATCAAGGATACGCTCACCCCTGAGGAGCTGATGCGGCGCAACCAGCGCGCCAAGGAGCGGTCAGTCACGCCTGTCTGAATAATGATACACTTTAGTGCTTGTGTGAGTTATTATGACCCAGTCTGGACTGGAAATGAGGGCGTGTCAGTCCTGGGTGAGGAAAAGTGTGTCACTATTTGGACTATTTGACCAATTAATTTTCTGTGTATATTTGTATTGAATTTTGATCTTATTTTATCTTTGTTTTCCTTCTCTCATTTGAACAGTTCTGTGTGATGTGCTTGTGTTGTGTAGGTGTATTGTTTTGTGTGAGGTGTTTGTGTTGTGTAGGTGTATTGTTTTATAATAGGGAAATTATTTATTGTTTATACACTTGAATGCTGGCAGGTGCACTTGAATGCTGGCAGGAACACTTGAATGCTGGCAGGAACACTTGAATGCTGGCAGGAACACTTTAATACTTGATGGTAAACTGCAATAAGCTATTGTAATGTTAGGTTTATCAAATTGAGTTTAACCTTTACGCTTGACTTAACTTACCTTCACCGCCACGGAAGTTGGCGGGCAACTGATGGGATGATGTAAACAAACTGCTCATGCAGTTTGTTACACAAACTACACAAACTTGTTGTTACACAAACTTACTACAAACCTGTTGAGCTATGCAAAGCAATGTGCTCTGAAAGCCAGTTGGGCTGGTGAGCCATAAGAGTAAGACATATTCCCTGTACAGGTGTTTTTTTGAAAGGCAACTTTAAAGTCCAGGGGCCATACTTTCAAAACTCGCTAAGTGAACGTAAGTACTTACGCTCTATTTTCTTGTCTATGATTGGTGGATTTTGCTTGAAAGGCCGTCAATGATTGGCTGATGAACTTACGATCTCTTAACTTTTTTTGAAAGTATGGCCCCTGTTTGATGGTAAAGGGTCAAGTAACACAAGTAGTTTAAGTATCCCCCAACATGATGAGCAACGATGAAGCCTCCTGATGATGAGCATAATAGAGGCCAGCCATATGCATTATAAAGATTTTCCCATATTTTGGAGAAAGTGATTAGATTCAAGACTTGTATCAGATTTATTGAAGGTGAGTTTCAGCATATAAAGACATGACAATTTTTTAATATGAAATAAAAAAGTTGACATGGCATTCAACACTATGATGAAGATAACATACAAAAGAAAGACATCACACTAAATGTGTTAACCAAATCATCTGAGGATTTGGGGGTAAATTTTGAATAACAAAGTATTGGAACAAATAGCAAATTGGTTGAGTACAGTCATGGGTCTATAAACATTCTATATACTGAATGATATTGGCTCCAGACTACACCTCCTATTCCATTATTAAGGGATGAAATCAGTGGTGCACAAGAAGCCTCTACATGCATTATTCAATTAAAACATTATTCAATTAAAAAAAATTCAATAAGAAATACTCTCTGGTCTTCAATGAAACCTGCATTAAAGAACAGCTTCTGCCAAACTACACAAATATTTAATTAAAAAGGCATGATACTGTTGCATAATACAGGGTAAATGCTTTGATGTTCTATGTTAGTCATTCTCTGGCTAAATGATTCCCATGCATTGTCACAAGTTGATTTTGTGTAGGCCTGAAGTGCATACAATAGAGGAGTAAAAAAATCTTCATATCATACTATTATTTTCTTTTGTGGACCCCAGCCAAATAAATTCTCTTTGAGGGATTTCAAAATAAACAATTTCTAGAGATGCCAAAATGTAATTAAAAATTGTAAAAAGATGAAATTAAGCATAATTTTTACCCTAATGTTTTATTTTCTGAAATTATCCTTGATTCTCGAGGTGATAATGCTAAGATAATCATTATTAATCAATTATAAATCAGTGAACAAAATATGGCAAAAGTCCCTACAATCAGCTTTATCATCTCAATAATTGAGGCAAACTTCTTAAAATTTAATAATAAAGGTAAATTACACTGAAATTCACATACTTCAAAATATTTAATGGCTTTTCAGCAACTCTAGAAATTGCTGGTTTTAAAAATTCTTTGAAGGAGATTCATTTGGTAGAGGCCATTGTAAAATAATCATTGCCAGATAACAGATTTTAAAAAAGTTTTTTTCTCGATCCATCCTAGTGTCCAAGTTTAGCATAGACCTGATGGGTGTCCAAGTTTAGCATAGACCTGACGAATAGACCTGATGGGTGTCCAAGTTTAGCATAGACCTGATGGGTGTCCAAGTTAAGCATAGACCTGATGGGTGTCCAAGTTTAGCATAGACCTGACGGGTGTCCAAGTTTAGCATAGACCTGATGGGTGTCTAAGTTTATCATAGGCCTGATGGGTGTCCAAGTTTAGCATAGACCTGACGGGTGTTCAAATTTAGCATAGACCTGATGGGCGTCCAAGTTTAACATAGACCTGATGGGTGTCCAAGTTTAGCATAGACCTGATGGGTGTCCAAGTTTAGCATAGACCTGAAAGGTCTCCAAGTTTAGCATAGACCTGATGGGTGTCCAAGTTTAGCATAGATATGATGGGTGTCCAAGTTTAGCATAGACATGACGGGTGTCCAAGTTTATCATAGACCTGACGGGTGTCCAAGTTTAGCATAGACCTGACGGGTGTTCAAGTTTAGCATAGACCTGATGGGTGTCCAAGTTTAGCATAGACCTGACGGGTGTCCATGTTTAGCCATGAGCTGACGGGTGTCTCGTTGTGTTGTGCAGGTATCACCGCATGACGGCAACAGAGACACCCGAAGAGCGGCATAGACGAAAATGGCTGCAGCATGGTTTTTATTATTCTGATTCATTCATTAGGAGTAATTAAAATTCATTTGGAGGAATGAATTTTAATTACTAAAATTGAATTTATTAGGAGTAATGAATTATGATTACTGGAAAGTGAATTGTGAAAAAAAAGTTATTTTTAAATTTCAAGTGTTGAATGTGTTGAAGAATCAAAGTAAATATCAGTAAATGAAACTGGTTGTGTAGTAAAACAAGGTAGGCTTGAGCATTCAAGCTTCATTTAAGCAAATTTCCAGTTACCCAAAATAAGAGTAATTGACATCAAATACTAGTCAATAAATTGCAACACAAATAACCAACAACGGAAACAATTATATGATGGAACTTACATTAAGGTACAACGAGGTAAAACAACTGGGTACTGCAATGTTAGGCTTAATGCTAACACAAGAAACAAATTGAAATTTTATTGTGGGACTTGATCCCAAAGACAACAGGTCCTAAGCTTGAGTAAGCAGACATATAAAGAAATTAGGGATGAGACCAGCTCCTGAAGGTAAGCTTGGTAGTGGTATCACTAGAGGTTCACCCTTGGGCCAGGTTCATTCAAAAACAAATGAACCTGGCATAACATAACTGTGAAGAAATAAAAACCTTGATAGGAAGCACTCATACACTTAGGTATAGCAAAATTGTTATACAACTTAGTAAGTAGAAAAGAATTACAACTTATAAATCAAAGTATGTACCTACACTCCATCCACAACAAAAAAGGTTTCTGAATTGCACCTATGGAGTGGCCAAAAGCCCCAATCAAATTGACTGATGTGTCCCACTGGATATGCAGGTATTCTATAGAAACTAAAATTAGCTGTTGAATAATTTGGACTCAAAATCAAAGCTGGACAAGCTGACAGGTATGTCTCACTATTCCAGTATTTTAAACAATTATGGCACTCTAGTACTCACCTTAAAATCTTTTACCTACAAGTGGTTAAGCAGCAATATCAAGAGAATAACTGAGGCCATATATATATATACAGGGAAATTGTAAGTTAAAGTAGGGACAGTCTCCAATATTAATTATTTAATTAATCGGTTGAAATAAATAAGCCTTTCCATAGGGTTAGAAACATAGAATTGACCAAAAGGAGCACAAGCTCAAAAGTGAAGGTGGCCTTGCCACAAGAAAAGGCTAATCCCAAGTTTAATAAGGAGTCAGCCCTCTTTTAATTAAAGGAGAGCAAACTTGTACATGCTAAAAAAATAAATGAAACGAAAATCAAAGAGTGATCACTCTAGGTAATAATTAGGGAGGGATGGCTTGACACTCTCCTACCTGAGCAACATTAATTGGACGTTTTCACCTGTAAATCTTTCTTCAAACTTCCCTTATTTACAAACCCATACCTATCAAAATGTATGGAGAAAAATAATTTACAACTCAAGAAATATGCAAATTTTCAACATCACCTGGGTTCAACAAATGGGTACAACAACTTGTGTATTAAATAATATTATATTCCAATTTGCAGGGAGTCAAAGTTCTTCAGATGACATTAACAGTTCAAAAGGCAGGTCTCAGCAAGGATTTATAATCTATTTAATGACATTTTGAATGTATCAACATTAATTTTCAAGTTAATAGAAGCATTGAAGACTGAAATATAATGCATTCTCTGGTCATTAGTAATATGTGTTCCAACAGTGAAATTCTGCCATCTAATGCTAAAAAATATTACTGCACAAAATATTACTACTGACACTACCAGTACATTGCTGCTGCACTGCACCCTCTTCAATAAAAATATCAAATGACCAATAATGTGGGGACATGCCATTTCTTTGTTTAAATTCATTTCCATTTTAAACATTTCATCCAAAGGATGTGTGAGGCCTCATTCAAGTACTTATTTATAACTCACAGTAACACATTATGAACAGAACATTACTTCTTGAAAATAAAATTTGGATATTGTTACTTATGGCCTTGCTGATATGGTGCATAAGGGCCATTTCTATGTGATAATTTTGCCTATAAATATGATTTGTGTTTTTTGAGTCACTTTGATTACACTGACCTAGTACTAAGCTTCATAAGCAGCTTGCTCTTACTTCTTCTTCTTAAATAACTTGGTGATTGGGCCACTAGAGTAAATGTTGACACCTGAGGAATGATAGTGTGATTGATGTGAGGGTTGATAGTCACATTATTTACACTGATTTAGTCTTGATAAGTTTAATGTGCACCTTGCACACACGTCAGCCAGAGATATAGCGTGGTTGTTGGGAAACTCACAAATATCTTTTAAATTTGTTATGAATAGATTTATCATTATACACTGTTAGAAAAATTACCGTTAACGGTATTACCGGCGTTTCAGTGGCCGGTCGGCACGTGAAAAGAAACACCGTGTCGCCGTTTTTATTCTAATTTAACACTAGAAATCCGTAAAACATCTGATAAAAACGGCGAGACAGTTTATTTTCACGGGGCGACCGGCCATTAGAACGCCAGTGGGACCGTTTTTTCACTGTTTTTTCTAACAGTGTATTATTGCATCTAATAGTGAGTTAACATGTTGGGTGTGGTTCATTATATTATTTTATTACATATAATATGTAATAATATGCTCTTCCCAAACTTCTAACTGCCCACTGGTGCTATTACATTCAAGTTCCAATTGAACCTTCCAGTTTAAAATGATAAATATGCCTTTCCTTGCAATTAAATAAAAAAGGTAAACATATTTTCTATTTCAAACCTTTATATTTTATTATCAACATAATGTCTTAAAAATTGCAATAATAACAAATCATGTTTTTTTTCAAACATTCCATACCATTTTTATGAATGACATCCATGGGTCATCTTGTCTTGCACTCAACGTGTTGATGTATAATCCCAGGGTGCGTACTGGTCATGGAAAGCCTGGAAAGTTGTATACAAGTCTGGAAAATTACTCGTATATGTCAGGTTCCAGACTTGTATACGACTCGTAATTTTCCAGACTTGTATATGACTCGTAATTTTCCAGACTTGTATATGACTCGTAATTTTCCAGACTTGTATGACTCGTAATTTTCCAGACTCGTATGACTCGTAATTTTCCAGACTTGTATATGACTCGTAATTTTCCAGACTTGTATACAACTTTCCATGTTTTCCATGACTGGTACGCACACTGTAATACTATATAATGTATATAGTATAATATAATACTATATAATACTATATAATGTGTATAAATATTATAATTTAATCCATGCATACTGTCTCTGTTTGGCCCATTTCACACCTCAAAGTTTTGTGACAAGAAATTGGCACTTAACTTCTTGTTCAATATTATTTCTTTAATGAAATAGTATTTAATTTTCTTCCATAATATTTACATTGTTGTCCAAAAACAATTTTCTTCATTCTTATTTAGAAAATCAAAGGAATTTTTTTAGAAATTTGTTATAATTAACATGAAAAATCCATTATAAAAGATAAATCTGTCATCAGACTCAATTTGCAAAACAAAAATATCTATGTTAAATTATCTAATTTTAATTCTTTTGATTATAAATTCTATCTGATCTGATATTGTTGGCTGTTCTATGAATTAATGAATTTTTTACAATTAACCATATTTTAATTCATACATGCACCTGTGACCTATGAAATGTTATCCTTATTGTGCCAACAATTGTCAATGTGATACAATACAATGAGTCTCAATTATATGTCTGATGGAAATGATGAAAAAAATCCTATTCAAGAGATTAATATACTCTTTGCCATATTTAATTTAACTGATAAATCTTATAAAATTAATGTATAGATCAGAAAATTATATTGAACAATTGGCATATAAGAAACGTATCCAAAACTTGCTAATTTATAAAATAAACTGTATGAATTACAAACATATATTGAACAATTGGCTAATAAGAAGCATATTAAGATTAACAAATTGTAAAATTGTTCAGGTATCAGAAACAGAAGAGCTACGCCTCTGCGGACGAACTGGCTAGGAGAAATGAAATGGCCAAAGAGAGGTAGGTGGTGCATGGAAATATCATATAAATATTTAATATATCATAATACAGGGTATAAATATTTAATATATAATAATACAGGGTATAAATATTTAATATATAATAATACAGGGTATAAATATTTAATATATAATAATACAGGGTATAAATATTTAATATATAATAATACAGGGTATAAATATTTAATATATAATAATACAGGGTATAAATATTTAATATATAATAATACAGGGTATAAATATTTAATATATAATAATACAGGGTATAAATATTTAATATATAATAATACAGGGTATAAATATTTAATATATAATAATACAGGGTATAAATATTTAATATATAATAATACAGGGTATAAATATTTAATATATAATAATACAGGGTATAAATATTTAATATATAATAATACAGGGTATAAATATTTAATATATANGTATTACCGGCGTTTCAGTGGCCGGTCGGCACGTGGAAAGAAACACCGTGTCGCCGTTTTTATTCTAATTTAACACTAGAAATCCGTAAAACATTTGAAAAAAACGGCAAAGCAGTTTATTTTCACGGGGCGACCGGCCACTAGAATGCCAGTGGGACCGTTTTTTCACCGTTTTTTTCTAACAGTGTTGTGTGCCAATATGGCGTCATATTGTATTACTTTGCTTGTGCATGTAACATGAATATCAGCTGGGGAATATTGATATACAACATAAAATGGTAAAAATTATTTATTTCAAAATAATTTGCCTTTTAATTTTAATTTTTTTTAATTTATAATAATAATTTTTTTTAATGATAATTTGCACTCTCAAGGGACTTGAGAATAATTAACTAGTGTTTAATGCTAGATGCCCACCCCTCGGTTACCACACAATAGACATGTAGTGCTTTATCATTAATTATTTATTATTCATTATTATTATTAATTATTTATTATTATTTATTATTCAATAATAATACTGATGGCTTAATTTCTCATCTGTGACTGGTGCGTCTAGCTTTAAAATCCGTCAATATAGTATAGTATAGTATAGTATAGTATAGTATAGTATAGTATAGTATAGTATAGTATAGTATAGTATAGTATAGTATAGTATAGTATAGTATACCATAGTATAGCATAATTGTCAGCACTAAATAAAAAACTCTTTATTTTTCATTATGTTTACGTCCTTGATATGGAATATTCATGCATAAAGTTGTGACCTTCAACCAATACATATATTCAGAACGCCATCTGTTTGATTATTTCGTAATTTTGTAGCAATCACCGACTGCGAAGAAAAAGAAGGTAAACAAAGGTAGCATCGTTGTGCCAATTTTTTCTACAATTTTTTTACCTCTATCGTGGCTCTACGCACCTTTACGACGTATACGTGAATTTATTATTTGTTGCTTTTAAATATTTAAAATCCTCCAGATTATCCTATCATTTGAATTTCATCTTGCATTGAAATTCTCTTTATTTTCTCTGCTCACTCCTGTTTCATGAGCTCTGCTGTCTGCTCTAGCCTAGCCCCTCTAAACTGAAAATTATCTGAAGCCACATATTAAATTCATTTCTGGAAAATCAGGTACCTAGAACCCACCTGTGAATGAGACTAAAATGCCCATGCTTGATGCTTCATGCTTGCAGTCAGTTTCATCTGTTTGAACTTTGATGGCCGATGTCTAAATTTTTTTATGAAATTTAGAAAAATAACACATTTTGCCTGCAATTTTCAAAAATTTGTGGTAAATCAATAGTCTTTATAAAATTCTGTCTAGTTACCTACATCATATGCTACATGGGCATTAAATTTTAGGTTTGGGAATAAAAATGTTTGTACTAGCTACAATTACTTGAATTAGAGCTTTCCTAAAATTTTTGAAGCCAAGAAATTTTTACTAGATCGATTGTCTTATTTAATTGTTAATTGACTGCCTGCAGGATTAGAATTTTCCTATTTGTTTCTGAAATCTCACGGCTCCAAGATGCCAAATTTTTAATACAATTAGAATCTTGCAGCCCGATCGTGCACTTTAGTTAACAATTAGATAGGAGGTAATTCATCTGGCGGAAGTCTCGCGATTCTGGAAATAATGGGTAAGCTCAAGACTCATGGCCCTAAAGTTAAAGATAGACATTTTCCACGCTTGACTGCCTGGATATAAACAGTTGGTAAATGTTACATTTTCTTTTGTGATATTCATATATTCTCAATAAATTACTAAATTCACCATTAAAATCTGTCATCTGAAGATGTAGCAACCCATTTTTCTTTAAATATCATTTTACCTCTACTTTTGGCAAGAAACAATCTACTGTGGACTGTGGAGTGTGCAAAAACATTAACCTCTCAAACCACAACTTGAGCCTTCCTGCCATTTTCAGGACTGCAAGATTCCTGCTAGATGAATTACTTCCTATCTAATTGTTAATAAAAGAGCACAATTGGGCCACAAGACTCAAAATTTATGAAATATTTGTCACTTTGGAGACACAAAATTTAAGTAAAAGGAAGAAAATTTCAATCCTGGTAACATTTAAGATTTAATTAGTTCTGCAAGTAAGCCTTAACACTCAATAGTACTGACAACACTAGGCTTAAAATGAGGATCTTGGCAACACAATTGTTGAAGTTTGCTTGGTAGAATTAGACTGGATCCAGTAACTCCAATGGAACAGCTGGTTCCAATGTCACAAAAAATATGTTTGCTTGAAGCTGGAATGCATATAGAAATGTTTAATAGATCCAATTTAGCTATTAAGAAGCCAAAAATTTGTTCTCTCATTCCAAACATTTAGTTCTTTCCTACAAGGAAACAATCAAAGTGCAATATTAAGAGCTAGCAAAAATTTACCACCTATGCGCAAGATTTCAGTTATAAATATAAATTTTTGCATCTTGCCATGTAACACTATTAATTGATAGATTTTCCTTACCAATATAGTCTCAAGACTCTAAAATTAACCTATGCCAATTTGAAGTAAAAAAACTGAATTTGACTGAAGTAACTGAAGAATGGGTTAACATTCTTTTGGAAACAATTCACAATTTCAATGCTTCTGAGAATTGAGGCTTTATTTGCCACACAAGGTGGACCAACAATGTAATCGAATATATTTTGTTGATTTATTGGGTGTTTCAATTTTTTGTCAAACCCCTGTAATCTTGTATACATATATACTTCAGCAGAGATATCAAGCCAGTGTACAAACTTTGGCAATCGAGTTACCAATATCAGATTTTTATGCCCAAACTGTCACCAATATTGTTTAGGATTTGTTGCCTAATACCTTGCATTAATTATTATGTTTCATTAAAATGGCAATGTAGTGCATATTAATAGTAGAAGGTAACGTCAAGGAAATTAAAATATTAAATAAGTAATTCCTTTACTTGTTCAACGTGATAATCAAATTCACAACACCACAAGAAGTGCCATGTCATCACGCTGCTGCTGTGCTGGTCTCATCACTCTTTGAAAGACATAAATTCTAGTTTGAAAGTTGCCATGCTGATCCACTTGACTGAACTCACTATAATTAGTAACAAAGTTGCCATGAAAAACAGCTTCCTGACCGACAACTTTTAAATTTTTGTGCTCTTCTGAAAAAATAACACCAGTCATCTCAGGATGGTTCTTCAAAGTAAATTTTTAAACAACACTGCTTCTTATGCATCATTTTATCACTTTTTAAATGAATGTTCCTAGTTAGGAACTTGTCATGGAAAACACAACTGCACCTTCAAAATATACTGTTATAACAAACTACATTTGATAATTTGCTTGAAACTTTAAGTCATGGAGAACAATCATCCTCCTCCCCCTCCTTCTGCTAGCACCCCATCTCAGAGCTACAATCCTTCAGGGGACCTTGTATCCTCACATAACTCATCAAACAACATTAATTTGAGAAATGATTTGCAAGGACTTCGTGCTGACCCCCACACTGACCTGCGACATGACCCAGCCTCCAAGTCCTATCTTAACATCGGAGTTATTCCTCCAGCCCACAATTTGTCTGCCTTCCCAGACCAGCTGCGTCACCCTGACCACTACCGCTCCGTGTACAGCAACCTTCATCACAGCCTTCAGACTGGCCTTCATCAATCCCTCCATGGTGGCCTGCATCCCAGCCTGGCCTCTGGGCTGAGCAGCATCGGCACAAGTGCACCACCCACCAGCACCACCTGCACCATCAATGGTGACAATCCTGCTCCTCTGTCAAATTCAATTGGTTCTCTTTCTCTGGGCTCTCTTAGCATTCCCTCCTCAAGTCCAAACTTGCATCTAGGAGGACTGAATTCATCCACAAATTCTGGATTAAATTTAAACAGCTTAAACACTTCATCAAGCTCCAGTTTACATCTTGGAAGCTTGAATGCTGCAGGACTCGGCGTCAACACTTCCATGCACTCCTTTGCCCCTGTGTCGTCATCCCTGGGGCTTCCTCTCAGCAGCAGCAGTGGGCTAAGCTCTGCAGGCAGCAGCAGTGCACCAATTCCTGGGCCAAGCATAAGCCCTTCTATGCCTAACTTTGGTTTGGCTGGCCTCAAACTGGAGGGCGGGGGCTCTGTAAGTGGAGTTAGTGATCTCACCATCAATGGCAATGAGCGGTGTAGTTCTGTTGGAGCTGCGTTGGATCACTCAAGTGCCTCAAGAGGCCTTGGAGTGCAGGGCCTCTCAGATCTCAGTGGTATTGGCCTTGGTGGCATTGGTCACATGGGCTCCTTTGGGTCAGGACTTGGACCTCACGGCCATGCGACTCCTCGGCCTTCATCGGTGGGGGCACTCAACCAGCTTGGCCAGCCGTGAGTCATTGGTGTCTGACATATATATTTTTTAGGTTTTATGTTTGTTCTTATATTTGTGTTTGAATAACTATCTTGAATTGCTTTGCTGAACACAAACTTAGCACTTTTAAATGTTTGGTTGCATTTCAAATTTTAAATTTTTATCTCATATGTGTCACAGAACAGAAAATCTGTAATTCCAGTGTAGCAGCATCTGTAGTGATTCATTTCAATGGACTTCTTAAGTACCTATTCAATATACTATTTGTCATGAAATTATTTATTTGTAATGACAGTATATCAGTGCTATATGCTAATGCCTGTTATTGTGTTGTGATGCAGTCGCCTGAAGCGCAATGGAGAGCTCTACAAGACCAAGAACTACGTCTACAACCGAGCCTTGTACGAGCAGAAGATGGCTAATGAGTCACCAGAGCAGCGGGCCAAGAGACTAGAATATGCACGGCAAAGGTCGGTAATATTAATAATACTAGTTACTAATATTATTAGTTACTTGATCTAGATTTCATCTATGTTTTATTTCTATTTTTAAGAAATGTGTAGGTCAGAAAAGTGTGTAGTGCTATTTTGTTGTTAATTGGATGTTTCAACAATTTGCTACCATGTTTTCTGCCTGTAATTTCATCTCAAGTAGTTCAAGTAAAAGGTGTGCATTTACTGCCAATAAATTTGAAGAGGATCTAATCTTGTTATTAGAAGAATTTGAAAAGTTGCATGGGTAAGAAATTTGATGTTGAATGTTGTACAGTGCAGCTTAGAAGTCCTATTTACTCATTTAAATTTGGACTTTATTGCCTTCAATCCTCATGATATATATAACCTGTTATCTATAAAGATAAATTCATAAAGTTCATAAAGGAAAGAATGAACATTAATATTGAAATAGCTTTCCTTGCAAGCTGTTTAATAATTTCATTTATTACTATACATGAAGCTGTTTCTGTAATATGAGATAGACTAATATAATTATATTTAGCATAAATAACTGTGATTGAAACATCATGACCAGGCCATTGAACCACAAACCACATTAAACATGATACAGAATATATGAATAAATATTATATTCATATATTCTGAATATATTTGGAAACCGGGGATCATATATAAATCATATAAAATGCATCCGCTCAAAATGTCAATCATATGACATTGGAAATCACACACAGCAGACATTGTTAATCAATGTCAGCAGTACAGAGCTTTCCTTGTACCGTATCTCTATAGTGAGACCAAGTCAATCGGGCATGACCAGTGTGCAAAAGTGAGCAGTGGCTATACTATCAAAACTTGTCAAATACACATAGTGGCCAAAGTACACGTAGTGGCCCAAGTACACGTAGTGGCCCAAGTACACGTAGTGGCCCAAGTACACGTAGTGGCCCAAGTACACGTAGCGGCCCAAGTACACATAGCGGCCCAAGTACACGTAGCGGCCCAAGTACACATAGCGGCCCAAGTACACGTAGCGGCCCAAGTACACGTAGCGGCCCAAGTACACATAGCGGCCCAAGTACACGTAGCGGCCCAAGTACACGTAGCTGCCCAAGTACACGTAGCAACCTAAGTACACATAGCATAGTATAATACTGGTACTCTGTATCACAGATACTACCGCCTGAAGCACACCATGTCTCCCGAGGAGCTGGCCCGACGGAACATGAGAGCTAAGGAGCGGTGAGTGCCGTAGTGCTAACACAGAGCAGCTGTAGTCCTAACACACAGCGGCTGTAGTCCTAACACACAGGGGCTGTAGTCCTAACACACAGCAGCTGTAGTGCTAACACAGCAGCTGTAGTGCTAACATAGCGGCTGTAGTCCTAACACACAGCAGCTGTAGTCCTAACACAGAGCATAGACTTGGTCAGGACTAGTCATAATACTGGTACTCTGCATCACAGATACCTAGACTTGGTCAGGACTAGTCATAATACTGGTACTCTGCATCACTGATACCTAGACTTGGTCAGGACTAGTCATAATACTAGTACTCTGCATCACAGATACCTAGACTTGGTCAGGAGTAGTCAAAATACTGGTACTCTACTTCACAGATACCTAGACTTGGTCAGGACTAGTCATAATACTGGTACTCTGCATCCCAGATACTACCGCCTGAAGCACACCATGTGTGCTTCAGGCTTTAATACCCCAAAATGGACTGGCAGGACTTGCCTTTCACCAACGAAGAACAGACTGGGAGGCAATATGGAATGAACTTGACGAAACTGACTGGAGAGAAGAGTTTCACGATATGAATGCCGAGGAAATTTACACAAAACTTTGTGAGAAGTTAGCACAGGTATGTGTGCGTCATGCCCCGAAAAAAAACGGGACCCAAAGTCCGCAGCATTCCGGGAGACCGACGAATCCTTATGAGAAAACGCACACGTTTGAATAAACAAATAGCTGAGTCCACTAGTGATCTGAGGAGACAGAGACTAGTAGATTTGCACAATGAAATTGAACTCAGGTTGCAGGAATCGCATAGGATAGAAGAACAAGCTGCCGAGGAACGAGTAGTGGAGGTAATCAGAGAAAACCCGAAGTACTTTTTCAAATACGCCCAGTCCAAGGCTAAAATAAAGACGCCAGTGGGTCCGCTGAAGGATAACGATGTCCTTGTAGGAGATGACAAGGGTATGTGTGAGTTACTGGGATTACAGTTTGAATCAGTCTTCAGTAACCCTCGCTACACAAGGGAGGAGAACGAAATCGAAGTTCTCCAGGAACTACCAGGAGGAAGGGGGTTGGAGAACATTGAGTTTGGGCCAGAAGATATGCTGTCTCTTATACACATCTAGATGTGTATAAGAGACAGGAACAGAACATCAATTTTATTCAAATTATATTATGGGTATCAAATTATTTTCCATGAAGATAAAATTACCTCAATAATCTACACCCATGAGACATCCAAAATAAATTTAGCAAATGCCACCAAGTATTATCAATGTTCTAAAGTGAGTNGGAATGCTCTTCAGCGTAAGTCACTAGTGGCAGCAACAAAGGCTAACAGAAGAAGTGCCGGCCGCCACTAATGTTAGCTACTAGTTTCTGCTCCTGGTAGCAACTATAGGAGGGAGAAAAACCACTAGTGGAAGCTAGAAGGCAACTATGGAGCACCTAGTGGTTATCAGGCAATACCAGCACAATGAACTACTAGTGGCAAGCAGTCACTACTAGCGGCAAGCAAGTACTACTAGCGGCAAGCAGTCACCGCTAGCGGCAAGCAGTCATTACTAGTGGCAAGCAGTCACTACTAGTGGCAAGCAGTCACGACTAGTAGCAAGCAGTCACTACTAGTGGCAAGCAGTCACTACTAGTGGCAAGCAGTCACCACTAGCGGAAAGCAGTCACAACTAGTGGCAAGCAGTCACTACCAGTGGCAAGCAGTCACCACTATAGGCATGCAGTCACTACTAGTGGCAAGCAGTCACTACTAGTGGCAAGCAGTCACCATCAGCGGAAAGCAGTCACTACACTATTAGAAAAATTACCATTAACGGTATTACCGGCGTTTCAGTGGTCGGTCGTCGCGTGAAAAGAAACACCGTGTCGCCGTTTTTATTCTAATTGAACACTAAAAATCTGTAAAACATTTGATAAAAACGGCGAAACGATTTATTTTCACGGGGCGACAGTCCACTAGAACGCCAGTGGGACCGTTTTTTCACCGTTTTTTCTAAGTGTACTAGTGGCAAGCAGTCACTACTTAGGGGCAGGCAGTCACTACTAACGGTAAACAGACACTACACCGAGAGAAAAAAATCCCCTGTTTTGAAACACTTGGGTGTTTCAAATCCTCCCCGAGTGATCGTGTCCAAACCGAAACACCCAAGTGTTTTTAAAACGTTCAGGTGTCTCAAAATATGTGATTTTGAGACACATAGGCGTTTTTATGTTAGAACACTAAAGTATACGGAAAATGAGACCTTCTTTTCAGAATCTCTGCAATATCCTTGTCCAGTTTTCAGCACCAGATGAAATTATTTTAACAATTTCTACTCCTCCGGTCGATCCCAGTCTAATCCATGGCCGCCTCCCTATCAAAATAATGAAAACTATATTTCTCCGTCTCTATCTGATTTGAACGCTTTTCTCTTTCACAGCGGAATTAGTCACATATCCATTCTTTTATACTCGTATTCATTATACAATTAAATCGGTATGTACAATCATCATGAAACTACACTCTTTGCTCTCACCTTAGTGGGGTGATGCTCTCATTGGGCCATCAAATACTCGTGATAAAAGTGATAATACAATAATTTGCATTAAAATAATCGTTCGTGTGGTAGCAAAAGGGAAATTTTATATTAAATTGTGCTGTTTATGCATTCATTCTCATCATATTTTACCACGTTTTTCTTAGCTCGCTTTCGTGTCTGTGATGATCAAATCTTGCAATCGATATTTCACCAACCTTCCCATTAGCTAGCGCTCTGAAACTTTTAGGGAAGCTCAGCTCCCGATAACAATACAATAATCAATAATTTGTTGCACGTTTCCAGGCGTATAAACTCTAAAGGAACTCACAAGCAGGGGTTGGAACTTTTAATGAAGACACGGCCCGGCAGTCACCACGAGCTACGTGTCACTGCCCCCACTGCCGCGGTGCCAAGATCACTGACGCCACAACTTGACGGGGCGCGCGTGGCACTTGGTGTTCGGTTGCTAACAACCGACGCTACTAATCAATGTTTCCAAGCAAGGAATCGCTCGCAACTTGACTTGGCACCATATAAGCGCTGAGATATATATGATATGACCATATATTATCACCACCATATGGTATGGAAGTCATTATATGTACTTCAAAGGCATGTACTTACGGCCATTTTCGGCTTACACAGGCAGGCGATTGAGTGCTCGAAAACAAGCTCGATTGGCATGAGAATGTCGCTCCAATTTTTACAACAATTCTTTGTAACTTTACTTCTTCTTGTTTGTTTCTTGGTTTGCTATAAATTTTATAATTGATATTTAACACACTTCTAAATCCGGAATTTTGCAACTTACATAAAATCGGAGACAATGCAGAATCAATTTGCAGAATAAATAATTAAAATGGTATATACTAAAAATAGTAAAAAACAATATTTTTAATATTTAAAAATAAGATTGGAAATTCGTTGTACATGTGTAACATCGGAGAAATTGGCTTCTTTAGATGTGTTGTCTTTAAAATGTAATTTTTAAACGCATATTATTATTAATTTAATTTTAACTCCCAATAGAAAAGTTTCCACAAAAAATTTAGTGTTTTTAATTAATGTGCACGGAGCGGCTTAAAGAAACCGCTCAAATTAATATAAAAATTAATAGATTATTATAAGATTTCATTACATATTAAATGATTAAAGAAAAGTTACCACAAAAACCAAACAGAACCACTGCTATTAATACAAAAGGTCTGACCGCGCTTCTACGTATGTCCCACACATCGTCCACATTCCCACTGCGAGGTACAGGTTCTACCGCTCATGGAGAAGTGGTAGAGGTGATACGGTTGGTCCTTTGCCTCGAAACTAAACTTATTGCGGGCCGCAGGTAATACCCTGGTCCTAATGATCCTGTATCAAATCCTTGTATCAAAGCAAGACTTTTCAATATGATCGAAAATTCAAGACACAAATCTTGAACGTATCCCATTTCTCTCACTTCATTGCACATTTATTAAACGTATATGAAACGTATGAAACATGATTCAAGAACAGGTTGTATTCATTAGGATAATGATTGATACGTCGGACATGATCTGTTGAAGGCACAATTTTTTTGATTTTGTAGGATTAAGACAAAAAGTTTCACTCATATTTATCCGAAGACTAGATTAGCAAATTTCTCAAATTGTTAATTCAGCAAACAACTCAATTTTGTCTTAACTAAATATCATTAAGGAGGTAGCAAGAAATAAATAACTATAAATAGATCACCGTATGCGCAACTCGAGTTCTGATTGGTTTACGTCACTCTCAAAACACCACACTATGCGCCAGCAATGATGAAACGTCACAAACTGTTGCCATATTTATTTAAAAGCCTTTAGGATTCAAATCTTCAAAATTGCTGAATTCTGACACTGTGTGTGACTAAATGCGGCATATTGCGAGACTAATTCCGACCGCTTTAAAATCGTAATTCATAATTCCGACACCCTGTGTTGGTAGTCCGACACCCTGTGTCGGAATTAATTTTTATGTGTCTAAAACCGTCTCTTAAATCAATCATCTATTTATTTATTTACCACTTAAAATCAGCAAATACAAGTATACTTAAAGGATTCCTAATATATTCACAGCCTTATTTAAAAGTCTCAAACCATAATATTATTTCTACACAATCAGTTTATCACTATTTAGTAGAGCAAGGTCAACTATCAACTTTCAAACGTGTTTCAATGTTCTCACTAGTTGACTTGGACTTTCGCTCTGCGGATCTTAACATTTTCTTGCTAGACCTAATGTTTTGCGGAAATCTGGCGCGCAATAGTATGACGTCACTATTTCAACCATCTACGCATGCGTGGAACTAAGACCGAGCTTAATATAAAGGAAAAAGTTGAGGGGTGTCGGAATTACCCACAGTGTCGGAATATGGTGCGTTTACCCTAGTCGCCATTCAGCACCAGCCTGTAGAGCAGCAATATTTTGTCTCGCAATATTGTCATATTTTTTTGAGATATTGGCGTCTAGCTCAAAATATTGGCGTCTTTATCATGACACCTGAATTGCCACTACATGAAATCTTTTCAAATACATATTAAAGTAATCAACCCGTTTTGGGGACTATTAAAAAACTTTTTCATATATTAAAATGGAATTTACAAAGATTTTACTGAGCCGAGTGGAGTGACGTCATGTTTGAGTCATGATTTGATTTTCATGAACTGCGTTGGGATTGGATAACATCAAATAGTGCCCTCATTACTCTGACATGCTTTTTGACAACACCCAGCGGGTCAGGCTACCTGGCACAGGTAGCCTGACCCGGATGCTGCGCGTTCGACGCGCTTTCCTGACCGGTTCTCCGGTCAGGAGCACGGGTGCTCATGCACCGGAGCGATGAGCAACATCGCGCTCCGATGCTCGTGTAAAATTCCACTCGCGGTGCGTGGGGCGCGAAAGGCAATGTTAGCCTAATATTATAGTTTTAAAACCATAATGTAAATGTTTTTATGGTTTTAAATCATAATATAAAGATTTTTCATGATTTCAAAACCATAATATAAGGAGTTTTCATGGTTTTAAAAACCATAATACAAGTGCTTTTCATGGTTTTAAAACCATAATGCAAGGGTTTTTCATGGTTTTGAAACCATAGTTTAAGGCATTTTCATGATTTTAAACCATAATATAAGAGGTTTTCATGGTTTTATAACCATAATATAAGGGGTATTCATGGGTTCTAAACCATAATAAAAGACTGTTTCCGTCCAAAACTCGTTCGAAGCTACCCTCTCGTTTAGCCACGTAGAAGAATTACGCTCTGGCACTGGGATTAGAAGTGATTCCCCACTGGGGTTAGGTGAAGTCAGGACCAGGTTCTGTTGATGATAGCTGATTGCTGAGGCCCACTGGGGGTTAGGTCAAGTCAGGAACAGGTCCGGTTAGTGTGATTCCCCACTGGTCAAGTCAGGAACAGGTCCGGTTAGTGTGATTCCACACTGGGGTTAGGTCAAGTCGGGAACAGGTTCTGTCAGTGATAACTGATAGCTCAATCCCACTAGGGTTATGTCAAGTCTGTAACAGGTTCGGTTAGTGTTTATCCCCACTGAGGTTAGGTCAAGTCAGGAATAGATTCCTTAGTGATAGCCGGTTGCCAAGGCCCACTAGGGTTAGGTCAAGTCAGGAAGAGGCTAAGTTTCGTTGAGGCGTTGTGGGTCATTGACTTTTTTTTGGCCGAGTGTAAATAAAAGACTAATTTTGCTTTAGATAGATTTGTTATCTAAAGCGAATGAGACACGTTGTGAGATGTGTGTTCAGGTAAAGAATAAAGGAATCTATGGTAATAGAAGTAAAATATGGTAATAAAGAAAGAGTTAGGGGGGGGTTTTGAGTAGGTACATCTGGTTGACTGGGCTGATAAGTGGCAGCTGCGTTTCAACGCTGACAAATGTAAAGTTATCCACCTTGGCAAGAATAATGAACAACAAGATTACAGTATGAGAAGACACGGTTGCAACGACAGAGTGATGATGTCGAAGTCGACAATGGAAAAAGATTTAGGAGTTAATGTCGACAATGAGTTGAAATTTTCTAAGCATATTGAAGGACAAGTTAATAAAGCCAATAAACGACTTGGACTTATCAGACGTTCTTTCTAGTTCCTAGATGCAGAAGCGATGAAGCAGTTGTTTGTTGCTGTCGTACGCCCGAACCTAGAGTTTGGAAACGTCGTGTGGTACCGAAATTTGAAAAGGACAAAAATTTAATAGAGAGTGTTCAAAGACGCGCAACAAGGATAGTTCCGGGCTTGAAAGGTAAGTCCTATGAGGAAAGATTAAAGATTATGAAGCTTCCAAGCCTCACTTATCGACGTCTGCGTGGGGACCTCATTGAAGCATACAAGTATACTCATGGCTTATACAAGATCCCAGAAGGATTACTAGAATTTGAAACAAGAACCAACACCAGGGGCCACGGCTATAAACTAAAAAAATTGCTTCTAACTCATCCATGCGACAACATTTCTTCTCGCTTCGAGTCGCCGACATGTGGAACAGCCTCCCTGATAGCAACGTTGACGCTCCGAGTATGAACACCTTCAAAAACAGACAAGACGAAGCTATGCAGGAGCATATGTTCAGTCTTAAAATGCCTAGCAAATTACGGACCAGGCAATAAGTCCAGACGAAGCTATGCCGGAGCATATGTTCAGTCTTAAAATGCCTAGCAAATTACGGACCAGGCAATAAGTCCAGCAGCTATCTCAATCAAACGTCGGCTATGGAAAGATCGGGTTCCAAAGGCCGGATATCTTGTGAATCAAGTCACGAAAAGTTCAAGAATCGGCAACAGGCCATGGGCCTATTTCTACAATGCCGACACTTCTATTCTATTCTATAATGTTTATACAAACCGTAAAGGATCAAATTCATAATTACTCGTAAATGATTACTATTTCAGAACAATGATATCAACAATGCTATTTTCACCAATTATATATTCAAATACTTGCTGATTCATGATTATGTGATTAGTTTTAGAGGTTATTTGACGTTGTCGAACAGATATTTTCGAAAAGTTATCATAAGTTATTCACGTCTCTTCGGTGTGTATGTGATCTTCCCTAAGTTACATCTTCATAGATTGCATCTCGAGTGTTGTAGTGCAAGGGTAGTGAATTATATAAACATAGACGTATTGACCCATCATCGTTTAGTTATGATGAACATTGAAATGCGGTTAGCTCATTATTTAATCTCGCGAATTGTATTTATGGTCTCTAAAATAATTAAATCGTGTACGTGTATTGCTTTTAACAATTTTGTAAACACAACATTAATAGATCGTATTAATATTATTTCGTATGGATAATGACTTCCTGGTATTTAGTATATAACGTTTAGTTTATATTTCATCTGTAATAAGATAGTAAGCCAAGCTTTTGCGGTGATTCGTGTGCCATTCATTCATACTTTGTCCGAATTTCCTCAGACTTTTACATTTGGTCATCTGAAATAATCAGGTCGTACAGAGTTCGATTTTACGTGTATTTTGAGATTCGTTATCCCGTCATCCCCCATCCCTTGCATCCCAATCAGGTTAATAGTTCACAACTTAAAGAATTACATTTGAGAGCTTTATTTATCATGAATTTCAAGTTTTATATCAGAAGGAATCGTTTCAAGATATTATAAGGATTTGCAATTAAAAAGTAATAATCTGATTGACAATTTGCTCTTTACCATAGTTCTTACCGCGTACTGCACTGAACTTCGATTTCCCCATCAGAAATGCAATGTTACTCCCAGATAATAACATGCAGGTACATGGTGTATAACCTATTATCTTTCATATGCACCAAAAAATAACTCATATATATATTTACGTTGGAGCGTTCCTAAGAAATGAATGCCCAACGTTTCATGAATATTGGATGGGTGAGCTTAAAATAAGAAATTTACAGCATTTAATAGTGTCTACTGAAATATTTTTTCATCTGCAGATACTAATACTTTTTGATCTTAGATCAAAATTATGTTTCACTCATTACTGGTTCATTCTTATATTTATCTCGCGATTGAGGCATGAATTATTTACGCAATAACTTTTATAATAAAATGTGAGAAAATACGTAGCTACACCGACAACTAATGCGTTACCATAATTAAGCAATAATCGGTTGTACAAATGAACTGGGTCAGGCCCAACTGAAAGCCGGGCGATGTTATTGCTAGCATCGTCGCTAAGAAGTAAGCAAATGACGACGAATGTATTTTGCGCTCGGTTAGTGACAGCAGGCAAAGCAAAGCGAGTTGCTGTGAATGCGACAGTACCGTGGATCGCCACTCTAAATCTGCTAATCAAACTAACTTACGAGTTGGTTAATTCGCTCGTGAATACTCTGTCTATTGTTAGTTATAACATGAGTCCTACATACTTTTATAAGCTTGTTAACAATTATGGTGATAATATATTGTAGGGAAAGCTTTAATAATGAGGCATTTAAGGGACCGTTTTGGTTATAAATAAAAAATTTTGGCTTTTCCGTTTTTCGGCTCATTTTGTAGCTGCTGAGAAGGCGTGCAGCAAACCGCATGTCTGTGCGTGGTCTACATTTTGCGATAAGCAATTTCAAAAATATATAAAATGAATATTGGTTAACAATATGAACAAGGATTACTTTAAGTTAAATCTGTATGTATATAGATCATTACTCTCGTAAATTGTAAAGTGTTTGCACCCGTTTGAAAGTTACAAACAAGACGCGCTCAACAAAGGTGAGCAATAATTTTTTTCAAAACTACCTCACGCAATAATTTTTGCGTGAGGTAGTTATGAACTATTATAAAATAACTATTTTACAATAATGTTTACAAATTTTCACCTGAAAATGGTATTTATGGATCATTACTTGCGTTAATTGCAAAGTGTTTGCACTCGTTTGAAAGCTACAAACGATGCGCGTTCAAGAAAGCAAGTATCACGGATGTACATGGAGTAATTTTTGCGTAATGCAGTTTTAAACTTACATAAAATGAACATTTATAAATATATGTATATAAATATCACAAAAGTCACATATATATATATATATATTATATATTATTCACGTTAAACTTGGCATGAATAAGTCTGAAGACGCTTGCTGGTACCCTAAAGCTAACTGGCAATGGGAAAGCTTGGGCAATAATATCAAGAAATTTTCTTGGCATATCCTCCTTTTATCAATAAATTTTACTTAATTGGTTTCACTGAACAATCAAAATTTCCAAAATGCGCCATTTTAAAAATCTATCTCCTTCTACGATTTTCAAGCTACAGCAAAGAAAGATATACCAAACGATTTGTAAAGAAAATCACTAGAAACCAACCGATAATTTTTTATTTCATTATAGTTTGGGTTATATATTGGAAAAAAGGGGTTGGGGTTATTGTTAATAGAAATTAATTGTTATAGGAAAATTTGAAATTTTAGGGACGATCTTGGAATATCCTCCCTCCTTCCCAAACAAATTCGAAATTGCAAAAATGATCAGATGGACTTTAGATACGGCCTTTACGAATCGAATGATATGCCTCTCGATGTCGTCGCATGCATACTGAATAAGGAGATAAACTTCTACAGTACCTCCTTTTTTCGCCGTTTAATGTTCCTCGTCCTAGTGTTCCTCGTCCGAGTGTTCCTCGTCCTACTGTTACTCGTCCGAGTGTTCCTCGTCCTAGTGTTCCTCGTCCTAGTGTTCCTCGTCCTAGTGTTCCTCGTCCTACTGTTACTCGTCCGAGTGTTCCTCGTCCTAGTGTTCCTCGTCCTAGTGTTCCTCGTCCTAGTGTTCCTCGTCCTAGTGTTCCTCGTCCTAGTGCTCTTCGTCCGTGTGTTCCTCGTCCTACTGTTACTCGTCCGAGTGCTCTTCATCGGAGTGCTCTTCTCCCGAGTGCTCTTCATCGGAGTGCTCTTCATCCGAGCTTCGTACCTCGAAGCGACTCGAGACGCCGTAGAAGCCCAGAAGTCGCGTTAGAAGCGGGAGTCGCTGTAGGCGCTGGTGTCGCTTTAGCGACTCCAGGGCGCAGTCACTAGGCACCGCTGGTCCCCCCTGGGGCACGCTGTCCGTGATGAAGAGGACAACACCTCCTTCCTTCCTGTGGGAGTGCGGCAATGAATATCCTGCGCGGCACGTGGCATGCCAGCAGCCGCCACCATGTGTGGCGCTATCATAGGACGACAAATGGAAACCAGTGAAAGAGCGTCATCATCTTATCAATAATATATTAAAGATGAGATGATTATCATGTATATATTAATTCAATATAATCATATAATGATTAATTAATATATTGCAATAATTATAATATAGGATTAGAATAATGTATAATTTTATTATCGTAAATAAAATATATAAAGTATTATTTATAATACAATTGGGATCTAAATATACTATAATATATTAAAATATAACATATTATAAAGCAATCTATAATATATATTACATTATTTTATATTGTGTTATTTTACAATATGGCACTATATTATATTATATTAAATTACATTATATTAGATATAATAATTAATTCTATATATTCCTATATGACTAAAGAATAAAGAACTAAAATATGTATAATTAACAAGAATATCGGATTAAGATATAGGATAACAATAATGATAGCATATCATTATTCCTACATGATGTTAAATGATGTTTACCGTGATGATGACGCTGTGTCCAATGATTGGTCGCCATCTGAGCTTGCGGTCTATTAGGATTGGCGCCATTTTGTTTCATATTACGGTGGACATCAGTGACAACTACACATCAATACAGTCACTGTAATTTACATATGAGAATATCATTTATCGTTCAGTGATATAGTAATATTGGCCCACAGTTCAGTTGCCGCCGTCCACTCACTCGTCAACCTCGGCGCGCGTGTCGCCCCAGCCGTCCGTCCTGATGCCCTCGTCTCTCAGCTTCTGCAGCAGCGGCGGCAGCTCCGCGCCCCGCAGCCTGCAGTCAGGCAGCAACAGCCTAACGAACCTGGGCACACAAACTTCAGTGTCAGTCCCCGGACGCTCAAACTACAGTGTCATTACCTCAGACGCATAAACTGCAGTGTAATTCCCAAAGACGCACAAACTGCAGTGACATTCCCCCAGACGAACAATCTGCAGTGTCATTCCCCAGACACACAATCTGCAATGTCATTCCCCTAGACGCACAAACTGCAGTCTCATCCCCCAGACGCACAAACTGCGGTGTCATTCCCCAGACGCACAAATGGCAGTGTTATTCCCCCAGACACAGAAACTGCAGTGTCATTCCACCAGACAAACACAGGGCAGTGTCATTCCACCAGACACACTATTTTCAGTGTCATTCCGAAGAATCACAAGCTGTAGTGTTGTTGTTGTTCGTTGCAACCGTCACGCTCGCCGGGGGAGGGAGGCTCTGGTGGTGGCCGGGGGACAGGCACCGGAAGAGGGTGAGATGGGCGAAGGCAGAGAGGGTGGCCAGGAAAGCCGCTGCCTCCACGGGGCTGTCCCACAGTGATGAGACGCTGAGAGACTTGGGGAAGGCGGGGCAGGCGAAGAGGTGCTGTACGGACTGGAGGGGATCCCTGCACTCATGGCAAGCTGAGCTAGAGGAGCGTCCGATCCTGGCGGAATATGACATCAGGGAGCTGCAGTGTCTCGAGCGGAGCTGGGATAGTGCCGAGCGATAGGGGCGAGGGAGTGAGGCCTCTACTGATGCAATCGGCGGTGGCGGGGCTGCGAGGGCGGCGTTTATGGCGTCAGTGGCCGAAACGCGGGAGGCGATTTCTCTGCGGAGGGACCGCTTGGCCTCTCCGTAGGCACAGGCAGGCATTATGCCATTTTCCAAAAATGGTGTGACCTGGAGACCGAACCTTGACTAGATGGAGGCTTTCATGGGGCGGTCCCCGGGGGGAGCAGAAACGATGCGGAATGAGGTATGGGAGGGCTGGAGGGCGCTGGCGAGGAACTGGGCACAAGCCAGATCCAGATGCGCGGATAATGGGAGGACGCCGGTCTACTGGTGAAGTTGGGCGATCAGGGCCATTTTGAGGCAGCCGATGGCTAATCTCAATGGGGTTTTTGTATTGTCTACAGGCTGGCAACTGCTGTACGTGAGGCAACAGGGTACCAGATGGGGGCCGCGTAGTTGAGGATAGGGCGCGTGATGGTTCGGTAGGTGACAATAATGTCCTCCTTGCAGAAGCCCCAGTTGGTACCATCAAGGGCTTTTAGAATGCAAAGAGAACCCGTCGCTTTCGTGGCGATGGCTCTTGCATGAGGGAGAATGTGAAGTGCGTATCCCAGGTGACGCCCAGGATTTTGGGGGTTTTATCCAGGGGGATGACGCCGTTGCAGATAGTGGCAGCAGGGTGGGATCGAGATTGGTGGGTGTTTGGGGTGAAGAGCGTAACCGAGGACCTTTCAGGAGCCACGCCCAGTTTCTTGGCCGCCGTCCAATCAGAGACGTTCCGAAGGAACACAGCGAGCTCAGCCTCAGCAGCGTTGAGCCTCGGGGACGACACGAAGAAGGTAAGATCGTTCGCATATGAGGCAATGTTGGCGGTCGGCACTGGGATATCGGAGATGAAGTGGTTAAAGAGGGCCGGCGAAATGGCCGAGCCCTGGGGCACTCCGAAGTGGATAGCTCTGAAAGGCGACTGCGTTCTGCATGAGGGAGAGGCAGGATGCCTGCCTGCCTCTAAGGTAGCAGCACAGCCAGCGGACCGGATTATGATGTAGGTGCGAGGCCGCGATCGTGCTCTGAAGGAGAGGGTGGTCGACACTCTCGAAGGCCTTCGAGAGGTCGACTGCAGCGGCGACTGTACGGGCTGGAGGGCGCCGAGAGTTAAAACCCGTCGCGATCTGGTGCGCGAGCGGCCGGAGGGCGGTGACAGTGGAATGCCCCGGCTTGAAACCGTGTTACAAGGGGACGGTGGTAAGAGATCCCGAGATGTAAGATAACACAGGACACTCTAGGATCTTGGCTGCAGGGCAGAAGAGGGAGATAGGGTGGTATGAGGAGCCCTGGTTTCCGGGTTTGCCCGGTTTGAGAATTGGAATAATTATTGAATTTTTCCAAATGGATGGGATAAAGGCTGTGGAAACGGAGATGTTGAAAACATGGGTGAGGAACTGGAGGCCGCGCGGACCGAGGTGCTTAAAATGGAGAACCGTGAGGCCGTCAGGACACCGAGCGGAAGAGTTGTTGACGGCTGCGATGGCGAGCTTGACCATGTCTGGGGGTGAAAGGGGAGAAGTCCCTGTCTAGGGGATGTTGGGCTCGGATTCGACGTATGAGGCGGCGGGTGGAGAGGTTCTGAGAGTGAGGAGCGACCGAAGTGAAAAGCTTGCAGTAGGTGGAGGAGATCTTGCGCTGGGAGGAGAGGGAGTTCCGACCAAATTGAATTGGCTGATTGGGGGGAGGGCGATTCCGCTTTCCGGCTAGGGAGCGAAGGAGATTCCAATGTTTGGATTGGTTGGTACGCCTGCTGCAAGACGCAAGATGTGTTTGCCAGGTGTTCCTGGCATGGACCTGTATGGAGATGACGATTTCCAGGTTGAGTTCTGGGAGCCGGGGCTCAGTTGGGTTGCTCGCCCTAATGGCATCGTTGCTCTATGAGCAGCCGGGTGCTAGGGTTGACTGATGGGGGAAAGTCCTTCCTGAATCCGGCAGGGATATGCTGTCTGGCAGCGGTCTTCAGGACTTCCCTTAAGGTCGACTCTCCGCCACACGAGGTGGGGGGAGGGACCGTCTCAAGCGCCGCTTCGCTGGCTGCCGCGTAGGCGGGCCAGTCAGCTTTTTTAAAGTTGACGTACGAGCGGGCAGCCCGGTGGGTTGGGGAATCAGCAGGGGAAGGGAGATGGATCCGGATGGGCAGGTGGTCCAAGTTGAGGGCGACTTGAGGAGTCCAGGAGGTGCTGAGGAGTAGATGACCGCTGATGATGGCGAGGTCCAGAGAGGAAGGCAGGCCATGGGAGGGAAGGCGGGTATGGGAGTCCTCATTGAAGTAGGCGAGGGAGGAACCAGCGACGAGATCGTCGACTACTGTTCCTCGCGCTGTGGCTCTCTGGTCTTCCGTGTGGGAGATCCAAGAGGGATGATGGGCGTTAAAATCGCCCACTATCAGGCAGTCTCCCGGCATGGAGATAATGTCTGCAAGCTCCGGGGAGTATCCCGGGGGGCAGGAGGAGGCCGGTGGGATGCATACCTTGATGATACAGAGAGGGAAGCCATTAAGAGGAGTGGAGATTTCTATGGCCTCCATGGTGGTGTCGCCGCGTAGGAAAGGAGAGATGTCTCGTCCGGTGTAAGGGACGTCATGGCGGATCAGAATGAGGAGACGGCCACCGTGACCTCCGGGGTGGTCCCTGCGCTCCAGCGCGTATCCGGGGAAGGTAGGGGGCGGGATGCAGCAGATAGCCTGGTCTGTTGGAGACAAGCAACCGCCACGTCATTCTTGGAGAGGTAAGTAGCCAGTTCAACTGCACTGGATTGAATCCCGTCGCAGTTAAACTGGAGAAGGCAGAGGTGGACCGTCTGCACGTAGGACAGATCAAGTCTGCGGAGTAGAGGTGAATGGAGCGAAGGCCGGAGCACCGCTTGTGGGTCCAGGCATTGCACATGGAGCTCAAGAACGAATAACATCGCCTTGTAACCGGGAGGGATCAGACTGAGCAGGTGTGCGGGCCAGGGTTTAGATGGATACGCTGGGTCAGGAGGAGAAGGACGAATAGGAAGAAAAGGTGAGAGGAAAGAAGGGCATAGGGTGCCTCAGGAAAGAGAGGCGGCCAAAGAAGTGGGTAGGGGGAAGGGGAGGCCAATGTTCCCCAACCCTTGGTCGGAAAAATGAAGAAAGGAGCCTCCATCCGGTAGCGATCCGGGCGGGGGGCCTACTGCCGTTTGGCCTGACCCGCGAGTATGCCGGGCATCCGGCCAACGCGCAGGCCAGGGTACCCCCACGACGTAGACGCGGCAGAGATCGGGGGGTGCTACAGATATCTGTAGCACCCCCGATCAGTTGTAGTGTCATTCCCCAGGCGCACAAACTGCAAAGTCATTCCACCAGACGCACAGACTTCGATGCCATTCCCCCAGACGCAAAAACTTCTGTGTCATTCCTCTAGACGCACAAATGTAGGTGTAATTCCCCCAGATGCAGAAACTGCATGTATAGGTATGCCATGTGTAACAAATGGAACTCATTTCCATTATTATATTGTATTATTTATTTCTATTATTATACGCACGTCTTGCAAGGGGGGGCAAGGGAGGTGATGGTGTGGGCCACGGCCCTCCAGCACCCCTCATCCGCCCCCTCCACGTACAGATATGGCGGGAGGGAGGAGGAAGGCAGCGGCCACGTGGGGGAGGAGGGGCCAGGGGGCGGGAAGGGGCGCGTGTACACCTCTGCGCGGGTCAAATAAGACAACATGAAGATAACAGTGACGCAAGATAACAGTGATGCAAGATAACAGTAATGCAGGATAACAATGATGCAAGATAACAGTGATGCAAGAGAGCAGCGGTTTAAGATAAGAGTGACGTATGATAGCAGTGATGCGAGATAACAGAGACGTAAGATAACAGAGATGCAAGATAACAGTTTTGTTCAACTATATATATAAATAATATAATGTACATATACGTAAAATAATATGCATTGGAACAGCATTCAGTATTCTTGCTTAATATACTGTTTATGATCATATTTCTGATACCCATGTAATATATGTAATATTCATTGCTAAATAAATTCAATAGTTTATATTTTGTGATTATCCGTTATATGGTGATTATCCCGGTGAATAATCACAAAACATTACAATAAATAACGACTATACTATTTATAATTGTACGGCGCCCACGGGGCAAAGGGCGCCGCCCCCCGTGCTGGGCAAGACTCACCGAGGCGCCAGACTGTCCTCCCGAGGGCGCTGAGTTCCACGGGCGCCGCCATGCGGATGTGGAGGTCAGCGTCACGGGCCACCGACGCGAGGGCGGCCGCCCCATCGGAGGTGCCCACGCAGCCTCTGAACCTCACCAGCCTCACCCTGTCCCCCAGGAGGTTGAGGGGAGGCATGAATATGACCAACAATCCATTGTAATGGACCAACAATTCATTGTAATGGACCTGCAATCCATTGTAATGGGCCAGCAATGCATTGAAATTGATCAGCAATGCATTGTAATGGCCCAACAATCCATTGTAATAGCCCAGTAATCCATTGTGATGGGCCAGTATTCAATTGTAATGGACCATTAATCCATTGTAATGGGCCTGCAATCCATTGTAATGAACCAGCAATCCGTTGTAATGGACCATCAATCTATTGTAATGGACCAGAAATGCCACCCATGGCATTCGCTAAGAAATTCCGCCCACCCCCCTGCATTTTCCCTCTGCCCCCTCCGCACCTGTATCCATTCCGTCGTCCTGAGGGTTGAACCCGAGAACCCCGATGGCATCATCTTCACCTTCAGGTTCTTACCAGTTTCTTGCCGGCGCCTGCAGGGCTCCAAGGCTTCTTGTCTCTACCTGCAGTGTTCTTACATGCACCTGCAGGTTCATTCCTGCCTCTGCGGGTTCTTGCCTGCACCTGCAGGTTCTTACCTGCATTTTCACGTTCTTACCCGCTCCTGAAGGTTCTTACCTTCACCTATAGGTAAGAATGGACCATAATAATGGAACATCTTACCTGCACCATAATGAAGGAATGGTGGTTACGTTCGGGTAGACGAGACCTCACTGTCTGACCATCGCTTAGTGATAATAATAGCGGTTCCAGCGTTTATTAGACCGTAGGCCTGTCGCCGATTCTTGACATCGCAGAACATTCACAGCATTTTGCGGTCTCGAACTCGCAACGCACTGCTACAATTCTGCTGTGCTTAACCGCCCCGCCTCCTTGCCGATTCTGACCAGAAACTGTCGCACAGAGCTGGGATCGAACCCGCGCCTCTCTGCTCCAATCTTGGTACTCTGAACTTTAACCACTAGGCCACCGTGGTGGAAACGACAATTGGAATTGAAACCCAGCCCAGTTTTATACCCCAAGAGGGACTGGCAGGACTTAACTTCCACAACCGAAGAACGGATTGGGAGGCAATTTGGAATGAAATCGAATGGAGAGTTGAATTTCACTAGATGAACGCAGAGGAAATCTACACAAAACAGTGTGAGAAACTAGCACACGTGTGAGTCATACTCCGAGAAAAACAGGCCCTAAAGTCCGCAGCATTTTGGGAGACCGAAGAATCCTTACGAGAAAACGTAAAAGATTAAATAAACAAATAGCTGAATCCACTAGCGATATGAGGTGACTAATGCTAGTAGATTTGCTCAAGGGAATCGAACTCAGGCTGCAGGACTCGCACAGGATGGAAGAACAAGCCGCTAAAGAGCGAGTTGTTGAGGTCATCAGAAGGAACGCCTAGTATTTGTTTGAATACGCTCAGTCCTTAGCTAAAATAAAGACGCTAATGGGCCCGCTTAAGGATAACGAAGTCATTGTCAGAGAAGACCATGGCGTGTGTGAGTTACTGGGATCACAGTTTGAATCAGTGTTCAGTAGTGTCCGTGCTCATCGATTAAGCTCTACCTGAGGACCGAGTTACGTGACATAGGTCGTCAAGGATAAGTAGGACACATGTGTCTAATAACATATCTTAAATACGGGGTGGTTATGCATTACGATACAGAGGTATAAGCTACGACGTCGACCGTAGGGTCGGAGAATTGAAACGACGCGTTACATCGCGGAGCGCTCATCAACTACTGCGGGGAGGCCTTACTTAAGTTTGCTAGCCCTTATGTAGCATTCTCTTCCGCCCACAACTAAGGTCTTGATCACGTGATCTATCACGTGTCTTCCAGATGCAGATTCATGTCATCAATCTCTATCAGGTCAAGTGAATATCATGTCTCAATTACATGCAATTATGATGATTATAATGAGACGTCAGATTGACACCGGACAGTAGTCAGTAGCCAGATTGACACCGGACATTCTTCTCCGCAAGGGAGGAGAATGAAATTGAAATTCTCCAGGAGCTGCCAGGCGGAAGAGTGCTGGAGAACATTGAGTTTAGGGGAGCGCAGCCGTGCACCACCAATTTTGTGCACCAATAAGCCCTGAATCGAACGCCTTGGATCTCTCCGGACCTACACCAATCAGCCGTGCACCACTCGGCTTTGTCCTCTTCCGGCCCTGACCACCACCTGCCGTGCACCACCAGGCCGCGGATCGAATATGACTTCCGGGCATCGTTAAATTACGTAATTTTACGTCCACCGCATCTGAGGTTAGGTTTCAGATAGCATAGTTCTGTTCCAAAATTTATCGTCCTTCGACAAGTGGCCGTTCGACCGAGGGCTGGTTCGACCCACGGCCTAGATACGGACGGTTTGAAGTGTTGAAGGCTACGTTCCGGAAGGCAGGAATCATGATGGTCCATTACAACCAGGGCAGTGGTGGTCTTCGGCAGGCGACCCGAGTTTGGACCAAAAGATATGGAAATGAGTATCAAAGAAATGGTGACGTTTTCAGCGCCCGATGGAATTCACCATTTCACCAGCACCCTATGGAATTCCGGCAGTACTGTTGAAGAATTGTGTTGGAGCACTGAAGGCCGCACAATGCTCTGGGAAGCCTCGATGATTGAGGGATCTATCCTTGAGGGCCTCAAAGTGGGTCTGATAACGCCAATGCACAAAGGAGGGAGGTCCGAGGGACATACCCCAAACTACAGACCTGTGACCTTGACCGCACATGTGATCAAGGTTTTTGAGGAGGTAGTGGCCAGGTGGCTTGTCCAGTATATGGAAAAGGCTGACTTGTATAATAATGGACAGCATGGTTTCCGGCGTGATCGTTCTTGTTTGTCACAGTTACTGGAGCACCATCGCCGCTTTGTGGCCCAGCTGGAGGAGGGAGCTGGCATGGACGTAGTATACCTAGACTTTGCTATAGTTTCTGACAAAGTTGACCATTGGGTGCTCTTTAGAAAGCTGAGGCTGTTGGGGGGTAGGAGGAACCCTGTTTGGGTGGATCCACAACTTCCTTGGAAATTGAGTATAAGCTGTCTCAATTGGAAACTTGAAATCGAGAGAAGCGAGGGTGAAAAGCGGAGGTCCACAGGGTTCAGTGCTTGGACCGATCCTCTACCTCATCCACATTGCTGATATCCACTCGGAGCTTACACACGCATCTACATCGTCATTTGCAGACGATACAAGAGTGCTGATGAAGATCATAGATGACCTAGACTGCAAGAGGTTACAGAATGACTTGTCGACAATCTACGATTGGGCCCTAGTGAACAATATACAGTTCAACGGCACCAAGTTCGAAGTAATGAGATATCGAGGCCGCACAGATATCGGGAGGCCGCCAGTGGATGCATTGTACCTCGATTTTGCCAAGGCATTTGACAGTGTTCCGCATGAGCGGCTGTTACGTAAAGTGAAGTCTTTGGGAATTGAGGGAAACGTACTCCAATGGATCAGAGATTTTCTAGTAGGTAGACGACAACGTGTCAGTATTAACGGAACCTTGTCAGACTGGGCATCATGCGCAGTGGCGTGCCACAAGGAAGCGTTCTTGGGCCTATTTTGTTCGTTGCTTTTATAAACGATCTGCCAGAAGCAGTGTCCAGCGTGCGCTCCATGTATGCCGACGACACAAAAGTTTATAATTCAGTGAAGAATGCGTCAAATAAAGCGCAATTGCAAGATGATCTTGACAGCTTATTTAACTGGGCTGATACGTGGCAGCTGCGGTTTAATGCTGACAAGTGTAAAGTACTTCAGCTCGAGAAGAATAATGAACAGCAAGATTACAGTATGAGAAGACATGGTTGCAACGAGAGAGTAATGAGTGAAAAGTCTAGTGTGGAAAAAGATCTCGGAGTTTATGTCGACAAGGAGCTAAAATTTTCTAAGCATGTTGAAACGCAAGCTAACTCATCCAACAAACTTCTTGGATTAATCAGACGCTCATACGAGTCCCTAGATGCAGAAGCGATGAAGCAGTTGTTTGTTGCTATCGTGCGCCCTAATCTAGAGTTTGGAAATGTTGTGTGGTCACCGAAATTTGAAAAGGACAAAAATTTAATAGAGAATGTTCAAAGATGCGCAACAAGGATAATTCCAGGCTTGAAGGGCAAGTCCTATGAAGGAAGATTAAAGATTATGAAGATTCCAAGCCTCAGTTATCGACGTCTGCGTGGGGACCTCATTGAAGTATACAAGTATGCTCATGGTTTATACAAGGTCCCCGAAGGATTACTAGAATTTGAAACAAGAACTAACAGCAGGAGCCACGACTATAAACTAAACAAACTGCGCTGCAACTTATCCACGCGACAACATTACTTCTCGCTTCGAATCACCGACATGTTGAACAGCCTCCCCGATTACGTCGTTAGCGCTCCGGGTATGAACGCGTTCAAGAACAGACTAGATAAAGCTATGGAAAAATATATGTTCAGATTTGAAATGCCTAGCACCATATCGAACCCGGTGGAAGTCGAGTAGCTATTTCAAACTTTCGTCAGTCGTGAAAAGATCCGGTCAAATGACACGATTTTAGATCTTCTGTGAACAAGGCACCAAAAGGAAAAGAATCGGCGACAGCCACAGCAGGCCTGCACTGCAGCGCCGAGATCACTATGTTAATAAAATGTATGTTAATGCCACTTCGCTACTTGGCACCAGATGGCTCAGAAATTGAGGAGAAGCAACTAGTTCGAGATCTCGGAGTGTTGATGAGTACTGAAGCCACGTTAGATGCCCACATCGAGGAAATAGTCACTCGCAGCCGGCAACGGATGGGGTGGATCTGGCGAACAATTCGGACAAGAAAATCAGCACCAATTATTACACTCTTCAGAGCCCTCGTGCTCCCCAATTTTGAGTATTACTGCCAACTTTGGGCGCCACTCATGGCGGGTTGCTAGAAAATGTAAATTAAATTGTTGAAGATTTATTTGATTGTAGGAAATGTATGTTAATTAATCTTTTTAAGAATTAAAATATTTGAAATTAGAAATTTAATGTTCCAACTTTCTTAAAAATAAGAA